GCACTAACTAACAAAATGAAATTCAATGGTGAAAAAAGCAAGGTTCTACATTTAGGCAAGAAAAACCAAATGCACAAGTACAGCATAAGTGGCACCATGCTCAATAGTAGTAACTGTGAGAGGGACCTCGGAGTCCTAGTAGACAATCACCTAAATATGAGCCAGCAGTGTGCTGCAGCTGCCAAAAAGGCCAACACAGTGCTAGGCTGCATTAACAGAGGGATAGAATCAAGATCACGTGAAGTATTAATACCACTCTTCAATGCCTTGGTAAGGCCACACTTGGAATACTGCATCCAGTTTTGGTCACCACGATGCAAAAAAGATGTTGAGACTCTAGAAAGAGTACAGAGAAGAGCAACAAAAATGATTAGGGGACTGGAGGCTAAAACATATAAGGAACGGTTGCTAGAATTGGGTATGTCTAGTTTAACGAAGAGAAGGACAAGGGGGGACATGATAGCAGTATTCCAATATCTCAGGGGCTGCCATAAAGAAGAGGGAATTAAGCTATTTTCGAAAGCACCTGAAGGCAGGACAAGAAGCAACGGGTGGAAACTAATCAAGGAGAGAAGCAACCTAGAACTAAGGAGAAACTTCCTGACAGTGAGAACAATTAATCAGTGGAACAGCTTGCCTCCAGAAGCAGTAAATGCTCCAACACTGGAAGTTTTTAAGAAGAGACTGGACAGCCATTTGTCCGAAATGGTGTAGGGTTTCCTGCCCGAGCAGGGGGTTGGACTAGATGACCTCCAAGGTCCCTTCCAACTTTACTAATATGAACATATGAACATCTTGGAATGAGATATCTTCCTTTGCAAAGAGCCTCTGTTGCAAATCTCTGTTCCTTAAACCGCATACAGAACGGTCTCTCAGCCTTTCTTCTAAGTCTTTAAACTCACAGGGCTTGGCTGCTCTTCTCAAGGCTGCAATGAATTCTTTGGCTGATTCACCTGCTCTCTGATCCCTCTGTTCAAACGTGTGTCTCCATGCAATGACAGACAGCTTAGGCTGAAAATGTTCCTTTAATAACTTCTTTAAGTCTGTATACGTGACAGACTCTAGAGGAGCAGGAGCTGCCAAATTTTCCGCAATTTCAAACGCATCTTGACCACAGACACACAGCAAAGTTGCAGCCTTCAAGCCATCTTCTCTAACTTGATTCACTCTAAAGTAATTTTCTACTCTAGTGACATAAGACTCCCATCTTCCTGGGTGAACAACATCGAATTCGGACAACCGCCCTATCTTCGCCATCCTTACTTCTACTTTGAGGAAGGGGTCTATCAGCCAGCTTACCTCCAGTGACACTGTACTGGCAGGCCAGGTGCTGAATTTAATGCCATCTTCCTCTCCTCAAGGACTCCTTGGGTAAGTCTTACAAGCCTTCTTTCAGCTTGCGATCATCCCACCTTCATCACCAGTGTTAAGTCCTCGAGTTAATGGCGAAAGAAGAGCACACATTCTGAAGCCAACAACTGCTTTATTCTTCTTCTGCTCACTCCAACTCAACTCGGAGGCTCCGACTCTAAATAGAATCCCCGGGCAAAAAGTTTATAAAGAGATGGCGCACTTTGTGCCTTGCGCATGTGCGCAGGCTGGTGCCACTTAGTCTGGTCCCGGGCAGCTTGCAACAGCCCGGGACCATTGCAATGTCCCGAGCCTGCTTTTGCAGGCTCAGGACACAACATAAACTATATAATTATAACGGTGTATATTGTGCTCGCTTCGGCAGCACATATACTAAAATTGGAACGATACAGAGAAGATTAGCATGGCCCCTGCGCAAGGATGACACGCAAATTCGTGAAGCGTTCCATATTTTTGCAGTGATAAAAATGAATATTCTACCCAAGTTTCTCTTTTTGTTCCAAATGATACCGATTTTGAAGAATGAGATCAATTTAACTGAGTGGCAGAAAGGCCTTAATAAATTTATTTGGGCAGGGAAAAAGCCAAGGGTTAAATTTAAAATTATGCAAGATTTCCGTGAGAGGGGAGGACTCAAGGTGCCGAATTTGAAATTATATTATGATGCGGTGGTTTTAACATTAGTTAGTGACTGGGTAAATTTGACAAATTCTGATATACTTCACTTAGAGGGATGGAATTTACTTTTTGGGTGGCATGCCTATTTAATATTTAATAAAAAAATGGATTGGGCTTTTAAATCTCATATCTTAAGAATTTCTTTACTTAGGGTTTGGAGAAAATATTACAAAAGTGATTTTAAAGTACCATTATGGGCCGTACCTTGGCATGCAATAGAAGGAATAAAAAGAGGGGTTAAAATGGATATGGTGTCCTATAGACAGTTACTTAAATGGGATGGACAAAACTGGCAGTTAAAATTACGGGAAGAGTTAGCACAAGAAAATATTATTTATTCTTGGTTCCAATATAGGCAATTATTAGATAGATGGAAGATGGACTGTAAGGTGGGTTTTTACAGAGAAGATGAAAATCTTATTAAGCAAGTGAAGGATCAAAGACAAACCCACATTAAGAGGATCTATGGGGTTTTAGTTGAATTGGATTCAGAAACGGAACTAATTAAAGATTGTATGATTAGATGGGCGCAGAATTTTGGTGAGCCAGTTCCATTGGACACCTGGGAAATTATTTGGGTGAGAAATGTCAAATTTACACAAGCACAGAACTTAAGGGAGAATTTTTATAAAATGTTTTATAGATGGCACCTTGATCCACAAAAAATGTCTTTTATGTACCCTGACTTACAACCTAAATGTTGGAGATGTGGTTGTATGGATGCTACTTATTATCATATTTGGTGGTCGTGCAGAGAGATAAAAGCATTCTGGATTAAGATATGGTGGAATATCCAGAGAATTTTTAAAAGGAGGGTAAAATTTACTCCACAATTATTTTTGTTAGGTATAGTTACTGATTGTGACACAAAGGAGGTTATATTGATGTTAAACTTGATAACAGCTGCGAGGCTGTTAGTAGGACAATATTGGAAGAAGGAATCTTTGCCTACATTGCAGGAATGGTTTCTTAAAGTGTCTCATTTGGCGGAAATGGCAAAGATTTCGGCTTTCTTAAAGGGACAAACGCAAGAGAAATTTCTTGCTGTTTGGGATAAATGGATAAAATTTATAACGGTGTATATTATCCAATAAATATGGAATTATTGAAAAATGCAAGTCCTGCCCTCCTGGCATATATCATGTGGGACAATTTGCTTTTGAAATAGTTTACTGATATTCACCAGTAAAGATGACTAGAATTTGCTGCAAATAATTTGTTATTAATCTGGGAAGGTCAGCTTAAATATGCTGAGAAGAGAGTAACGGTGGCAGATGACTTCTTTTTCTGTCTAATCTTTTGAGGAACCAAACTCTTATATTCAGAGTCATTTTCCTTATTGGTAAAAATATATATGTAAATATCTTATTTTGTATTGTGTAAATTACCCTGAGAATTGGGGAATGATAGCGTTGAAGAATTAAAAAAAATCTATGCACATATAATGAGCCAATAAAATATCTAGCTGGCTTTCAAGGGGAGAGAGCACTCCTTATTGTTACATACAAATTAATAAAGGTTATATTTCTGCTCAGATGCATAGAGATATGATCAGGATTCTGGTCTCAAGGCCTATTTAAGGAATGCTGGGAGAAAAGGTACGTTCTATTGGGAAAATGGTAACAGTTACCACCCTACTCCTTTTCCAACCCTCTTCTACACGAGCACGGTACTGATTTATACTCCAGAATTAGATATTCCAACAGCTGAAAATGCATTTCTGGTGTACAGGGATCTTTCCTAGTGGCAATGAAGGCCTTGCAGGACCATAGGCATGCAATTTCCTTGGATCATTCAAGAAATGGAAAGGAAAGATTGAGCAGAGGAAGTGGGAACAACCTTTAAAAAAAGCCTAACCTACTAATTAACCAAATCCTCATTGTCCCAAATGGCTAGTCTTCCAAATGACTGACAGCATTGTCTAAAGCAGTGGTTCTTAACCTGGGTGATATCGCCCCCCAGGTGGCGATTTCATTTTTCAGGGAGGCGATGGAATGAAAAAGGATGATGCGGGGACAAAGGAATGAAAAGGGGGTGATATGGGGGCGATGGAGCAAGAAGTTTTGAGGACACTTTTGAGCCTGCCCCTGTGGCTCCGAGCCTCCTCCGCCATTTGAAGAGAGAGACAGAGGCAGAGAGAGGCACTTGGGCTTCTCTCTCTCTCTCTGATGCGGATTTGCCCCCTTGCAGATCTCCTGGTTGGCCCTGCACCCAGGTGTCCCGCCCCCTGGGAGAAGCACAGTTAGGAAGTCCATTTCCCTGGCTGGCCCTGTCCCAGGGGCACGTGGCTGGGGAACCACGTGGGGGATCCCCGGGATCCCCGCTGGGAGCAGCCCGCCAGAGCCTCAGCTGAGTGGGCCAGCCTTCCTGCAAGCCGTGGCCCTGAGGGAGAGCATCTCCTGCGATCCCTAGATGTGGGACCGTTGGCCCAGCTGGCCAGGAAGGCGTGCCGGAGTCCTGGCTATTTTGTCGGTGAAGAATGTAAGGTGAGATGGCACCAGAATTTTTCACACAGTTGAGATATGGGAAAAAGACTGGAAATAAATTATTTGCATCGACATGTCCTGATGACAATTTTAAAGAAAACAAAAAAAGTGTTTGCATAAATTGAAGAATTATTTCCTATGTTTGATTGAGAGGTTATGTTGGGGAGGGGGGCGATGACAACTTCCTCATTGGTTCAAGGGGGCGATTCGTTCAAAAAGGTTAAGAACCTCTGGTCTAAAGGATGAGCACAGTCATGCCTATGTCTAATTAGACTAACCTCTTCCATCTGGTACCCTTCAAAATTGGTGGACCGAACTCTACCAACTGTTTACTTACTGATCCTATGTGCCTGGAAAATTCTGCTGATTGATATTTGATGTTGGAGAAGCCTTCACTGAAACAATGTCTCTATTGTATTCTCCCATTTCTGCTTCAGGGTTACTCTCCTATCCCAGCTACAGTACAGTATATTGCTTTCATCTGCTAAGACATAGGTTGGGAGTTCAGCTAGCACAGGGGTGTCAAGCTGCCAGCCTGCGGGCCGGATGCATCATAGCAAAACCGTGCCCACCCCATTGTTGGCAATGTAAAAAAAGTTGCAATACGTCATGACACATCATGTGACATTGCGAGTTTGACACCCCTGAGCTAGTGGTTGTACAGTGGGTCTGGGGATTTCACATTACAGAATCTCAACAACCCTGTAGTTGTTTCTTTAACAAGATCCCTGCAGAGCTCTGTCCTCTTGCTGTTTTCTTCCATGGAAACCAAAGCTCACAGCACTGACATTCTTACCCAGTTTCACACCACCTTTATATTCTCTTCTCTTTTCTTTTCTGGGCAATGAATGAAACAGAGGTTCAGTTGTGCAAGATGTTCCTCTCCACTGAACACCTCCATGGTTGGTGAGGTTTTTATGTCTAATTTGTATGATTTTCAGTGCTAAGAAAGATGGTTCTCCAACCTTAGATGTTCTGATCTGATCTGTTTTTTCTCTCTCTTGTCCATCTTCTTTTACAGGTAGCAAGAAATACTCGTTTCTGTTTCACCATTTACTTCAGATAGAAATCCAAATCCTCTTTCCTGACCATTTCTACCATCTCTTGATGCTTTGCCTCCATGTTGGAGAGCTCTAATGATTTTGGTTTTTTGGCAGTTCGTTTAATTTGATCATCCAGCAAGCAATCTCAGACTGCTGAGATTCAACGAAGTGAGACTAAATCTTTCAAGTAATTTTCTCAGATGTGTTGATGTTGACTGTTTAACGATACAAAATGAAAGCTTTGCAGCAAATGAACAAAATTCCCAGCCAGATATTATATTTCAGAAACCAATGATTAATTTTGTGAACTGAGATCCAGTGAGTTATCTCTAATCAAGATTGCCCATGAAGCTTACAATCCCTAAATTTTTTCAATAAATGCTTTAATGTTTGTCCTCACAATGTGCAAGCCCCTCCTGTATTATAGGGGTATCATGCTGAGTTAATTTAGCATTATCCCTCTGTCAAATTTCTGCACATACTATAGTATTAAATGAGAGCTTTTAGTTTTCAGGAAATAAAATAGCTGTTTACAGTTGGAATATTTTCCTTATTTGGATAGAAACTCCACGCTGTTTTTCTTAAAATACACACCTTACTGCAGGGGTCTTCAAACTAGGCCCTTTTATGACTTGTGGACTTCAACTCCCAGAATTCCTCAGCCAGGCATGCTGGCTGAGGAATTCTGGGAGCTGAAGTCCACAAGTCATAAAAGGGCCATGTTTGAAGACCCCTGCTTTACTGTATCTATAAAGATGGGGTTTGAAACAAAGTAGGAAAAACTGTAAGAAGGAAACTTGGCATGCCTTTCTCTCTGCTATGGAACAGAAACACCATCCTGATTGGGGCAAAATCTGCCCCTGATTTTCTGTGAAAATGAAAATGTCCCATTTAAAAGTGTGAAAAATATTACATGGAGTCAGATCAATCAGACATACAGGAAAATAAAGTTCATTTGCAAATGTGAAGCTTTTCACCAAGACTGAAATAGTTAACTTCCTATATTGAGCTCCAGTCATGAATTTGATTTTAGTATGCCATTGATGGAATATTGTTTATTTCAGTGGATTGATTCCTCTATTATCTACCTGATTCCAGTTTGCACTTGTTCCCTTTAAAGACAACCTGCAAGGCAGAGTTGTCCTCGATACAGAACCTAATGACATACAACTTCCTCCTTTTCGTATCAGGCATCCACTGAGATTGATGAAAGCTCATTTCATTGGAATGTGATAGGTTTAGAATTCAACGCCTTGCCTGTCTCCAAATATGTTCTATTTTTTCATTTCCAATCATTCCAGCAGGATCATACTGGCTCAGACTGAATTAAAAGGACATTCGCTCACTGTTTTACATAGGAGTGTTGCAAAACCTGAGGTAGGGCACCGGTATTTGTGCAGGACAGAAAGAATCTAACCTGAGGGATGGTTAGTGAAGAACTGAGATTTAAGGAAGTCAATGATACAGGTAGGCAAAACACACTATCTTACTAACTATACCACACCAGGAGGTGAGTCAGAGAGCAAGTGCACTGTATATGCATGCCTGAAAACAAAAACAGAAAGAGGTAATCTGAGATTATAGTCTCATAGACAAAGAGCCAGTAGAGTGATAGACAAAAAAAAAAAAAGGAACACACAATAAATTGTTAATTTACTGCCCCTTGGAATCAGCAGGTTGTGGGGTGCTGAACAGTCAGTGCCATTTCCAGCAATATCCAGTGAGGGGCGATAGCCCATGAGATTATTTAGTATTACACTCATGAAACTGAAGGAGCGATGATATAATCCCATTTACTCTCATTTTCAGATGAGCCATGGACACAGAACCGGAGAACAGCACCAACTTTGCGGGATTCATTCTCCTGGGTTTCTCCACCTCACCAGAGTTCAAGGGACTTCTCTTCCCCTTCTTCCTCTGCATGTACCTGCTTAGCTTACTGGGAAACCTCTTGATCCTGCTGCTGATCTTCTTCAATAGCGACCTTTTTCACGCCCCCATGTATTTCTTCCTCAGTCATCTATCATTGGCTGACCTGGGATTCAGTTCTAATGCTGTACCCAAGATGTTGCAAATCTTGGTCTCCCAGAAAAACACCATATCCTATAGTGGATGCCTCAGTCAAATGTATTTCTTTGTGGTCTTTTGTACCAGTGATAACTTTCTCCTTGCCTCCATGGCATATGACCGCTATGTGGCTATCTGCCGACCACTTCATTATTCTATAATCATGAGCTATAAGCGTTGCTTGATTTTGGCTGCTGTGTCTTGGCTCCTCTCTTTTTCTCAAGGCCTATTATATGTATTTACAATAGCTAATTTTTCTTTCTGTGGCTCTCGGGAGATCCCCCATTTCTTCTGTGACCTCCATCCTTTACTCAAACTTTCCTGCTCAGACACCTCTTCTGCTGAAGCACTGCTCATGATTGAAGGTACTGCAACCATGTTTGGGCCCATTATGCTCATTCTTCTCTCCTATATATTGATTATGTTCAGGGTGTTGAAAGTTCCTTCAGCTTCTGGGAAGTACAAAGCCTTCTCCACTTGCACTGCACACATCACTACTGTTGCCTTGTTCTATGGGACTCTGATGTGCACCTACATCCGCCCATCCTCCACATATTCTGGCTCTAGGTTGAAAGTGGCTTCAATATTTTACACTGTGGTGATCCCTATGCTCAATCCTTTCATATACAGCCTGAGGAATAGTGGGATTCATGGGGCCATGAGGAAATTTCTAAGGGTTTGGGTGCAGAAGAGGGGAATCAGAGCAGAACTGAGAGTGCCACATAATAAACCTGGAGCCAGTTTGGAAAACAATGGCTGACAGTAAAATGATATATAATGTTCTTTAACCTTCATAACATTCCATACTATTTATTATGTCCTGTGTGTAAAGTTATCTTCCAAGATTGTGTGCCATTATAAAACTCTAAAAGTTCAGCTGCATGGCCCTAATATAATTTATGTACATATGGGTTACTTCTATGCATTTCACCAGCATTACTCTTTTAGATTTAAATGGATTAATCACATAAATAACCATGAGTGTAGAAATAAGCTACCATTATATTTTGAAGCCCCAGGAAGAAGGTTTGAGTAATATTTAAAACAAGATTTGATTAAGAGTGCATTTTTCTTTTTTTAATGGACATATTTGACGTATTAATAAATTTGTCATATTTCCACCCAGATCTTTGGTGCTGTTCCCATGCTATTATCTATGCTGGGCAGCTTAGCCAATTTATTTTTAGCTCTGCCACAACATTAGATAAATCAGAAATAGTGGAGCTTTGCAACATTTTTGATGTGGCTCGCATCTACTTTGTTGTCCCTTTTGCCCTCTGGGCTTAAGATGCCATGGCTCCTGTCCACTTGCCTGCTTAAAATGTGAAGAGGGTGGTTTCACACCTTCTCTCTACAGTTATCAGTTTTTCTATTCATGCAAAGTGGAAATGTAATGGTATGTGAGGGCTTTCTGGCTCCTGGCTTTTCCATGCCCCCAGCTGGAGAATGATGCAGTGAGACAATTGCAGGGTGCTGATCTGTGAAGATTTAAAGCTTTATGGAGCCATATTTATTTTTTGCCAAAGGAGCAGAAATTCACCTATTAATAATGAGCACCATAAACAGGCATAGCTGCAAGATAACAAATAGGAAATAATTCTCTTCATTCTTCTGATATATCAGCTTGGAAAATGAAGCCTGATTGGGAAATAAAATAATTTCGTAAAATACTTCATCATACCAAACTGGCTTCTTATTCATCATGCCTGAGATTAATTTTGAAGGTATTGATCCAGAGTCAAGTTCTTCTTTGGCATGTTCTCCATCACAACTGAGATTATTACATTTCCAGATATGGGAATTTTGTCATTTATTTGGAAATGTAATGATCTTTATAAGGCATTTTATATTTACACTTACATATTCAGGTACATATTCTAGTATGTCTGGGACTGTCTACTTCAGGTAGAATTTGCACATATTACATGATCAAATCGAGAGCAAATGCTCCTGACCCCCCATTCTGAAAGTGTTTGAATGATATGCACATGGATAATTCTCCTCCCAAACTACTTGCTCTTTATATCTGATGTTCCCTAACCCTGATGGCATTTTGCAAAACTTTGGACTTCAAAAATAATTCAATAATTCATTGGAGATGAAGTGAAATTAGGCTAAGCTTGAACTTTTGGACACATAATGTAAAAGGTAAAGAAAATTCTGGAGAAGACATCGATCTCAGAAAAATTGCAGGCAACTGAATTGAAAGAGACCCCAACAGATGAAGTGATTAGATATTATTTATCACTGACATTGTACAAAAGACTAGAGCTACAGGACCCTGGACAGCTCCATTCCTTTTGCTGAACCGGAGAACCTGCCCATAGATCTAGAATTATTTTTTTAATTACTTTCTCCCCGTTATTTTTCTGCTGAAAGCTATCAAGGGCTGTACACAACAAACAAAAGCAAATTACAAAAACAAGAGAAATAGCTCTAAGAAAAAAAAATTGAAAAGAAAATGGAGGATAAAGGGACAAGGAGAGATTGATCTTTGCATAACAAAATTTTCAAAAAAGAAACACAATTTTTTTTAAAAAGCCCTTGTCCATCTCAATAATGTCCATACCCATTGCAGAATCTCATAACATTGAATGTTCTTGCTTTGACACATATCTTATTTTAACTTTGATCAAATAAGCAACTTTATATTCCTTATTTTTACTCTGAAAATTTTAATCTTTAAAATTCGTCAGTCACTCTTTCTCAGTCCAACTCACCTTACAGAGTTATTGTTCTGGGGAAAATAGGAGGAGGAAGGTGTGTTGGATACCTCCACTGCCTTGAGTTATTTGTAAAAATAATAAAGGTGGAATACAAATAAAATAAGTAAATAAATAAATATTGTTGTCAGATTTAATCCCTCTTCAATTCTTCTTTCTCGCATTGCATGGACTTCCTCAAGCCTCTTTTGTAAGTTGAATAAAAAGACATTATTCAGATAATTCCTTTGGTGTAATTTTGTAAATCCCAATCCCAATCAAAACTCTAGGCAGGTTTTTTCCCCCTTCCTTTTTCCCTAGAATTTTTAGTCCCCTCTAGTGCCTGATTTAAATCATAAGGTCTCTAATCTCTGTTAGGACCTATAGTAGACAAAATAATTCTGGTTCTCCCCCAAAATCTGTTTATTTTATATAATTAATTCCAGAATCTTGAGGTAAAAGTTCCAATATTCCAAATTTGTCTGGATACTTAAATAATTTATAACTTTCTTGGGTCAAAATCTTATTTATCTTTTTTGCCATTTATTTCAGCTTTTTAAGTTCATAAATATATAGTCCTTTTCTTTGGTTTAGAAGTGAAGGTAAACTCATTAGCAGCTTTTCAAACACCTTTTTGAAGATCTTCAGTACTTTAAAGATAATTAAATAGGCAATTCTGAAAGTGATTAGAGAAAGGCTCTGCCATAATTAATGAGCTTGATGACTGAGCCTTTCATTTTCCAGCACTGAAACCCCAGGGAAGAGCAGCCATCCAAGGCACAGATGCGTGATCTCCCATCTTCTTCATGTCCAGATGGAAGGAAGACCAGGGTTATGAAGAACCAGTGTACTTGCCAGTTCTTCAGTCTTTGCCATGGTTATCATCTCCATTCTCCATGGAGATGTGTTTGCTTGCCATGCCTCCACTTAGATTGCACACCAGATTTGAATGAGGAAGTACAATTCCTTCCAAAAACAGAGATTAAAGACAAAGAATCCTAGGATCTAGGGAGTCCTAATAGGTACAGCCATTCAATCTTGGTACAATCAAGACAGGACATCAACTATATCACTTGAACAATGCAGAGTTGATATGTATAAATGGGTATCAACAATCTGTTTATTTATTTATTAATAAAATTTATATGCCGCCCAATCCCTAGGGACTCAGGGTGGCGTACAAAATTAAAACAATAAATATAACAATAAAAATAAGTGCATTCATACAGCATGCCCCAATCGTATCCCCCCCCCGGGGACATCAACCCAGGCCTGCTGGAACAGGAGAGTTTTAATGGCTTTCTTGATACTATACCCCAAACTGACATATGATATCACATTATGGTTTTATATAGATGTTAAACAAGAGGGGAGAGATTATTGAGCCCTGTGGCACCACTCATAGAAGGGGCTGAGGGTGCAATCTCTACCCCTCTGTCAATACCAATCAGAAACTGCCATGAAGGAAAAAGGAGAACCAACCTAATATGGTGCCCCATTTCCCAAACCTCACAGCCAGTCCAAAAAGATATTGAGACTGTATCCAAAGCGGCTGAGAAATCAAGGAGAGGTCAATGAATGCACCATCCCTCCCAACAACATCAAAAGTCATTGACAAACATAATTATTACTGACTCCATACTAAGTCCTTGAATGCTGGAACAGATATCAATAATTTGCTTCCTCCCAACTTAACTGGACTCTGACCATCTTCTCAACAACAGAGAAGGTCCCATTTTTAAATGGAAAGTTGAAGACATGACAATAACTGTATAAAAAAATTCGTTGATTCCAGGCACAGCCTCTTGAGGGAGCACATTGCCTCCTCCTTCAAGGCTCTCCTTGAAACAGGCCAACTCCACAGCATGGACCCAACTGCAGGATAGCTTTTGAGTGCCTTCAACAACCTGGGAGAGACATAGATGTAAACAGCTTGGAGAATCCTGTCCACTTCCTCGAGAGTCACCAATTCAAACTCATTCTAGCTTACACTGCAAGACCCAGGCATCTTAGCTAGACCTTCCTAGGTGGAATCCACCTCTGAGTGGGATGTGCATGACTTATTATAAGCCAAGCAGTTAGATTATTCCTCACAGCAGCCCTGCAGATGATCCTGTGGCCCACCCTTCCCCAACTAACACAGGGCAGCTGAATGACTATTGGCAGACATGAAAAGAATAGAGAAATATAGATATTTTACTGTTCTTATCATGAGTAATCCAGTATATGGATTATATTATGAAAACATCATCACACTTTCGCCAAGCAAGTGCAAAGTTATGCAGATAATAGGAAGCTTTATGGATACTGTTTGTGCAGAAGAGGAACCTTGTTGCAACAGTAGGAAACCTGAAAACAGGCAAATACTTGCCTTCACTTGAAAAAGAAAGTTATAGAAGAGGTCCATTCTAAGTGTGGAAGAGGAAAATGCATTCTCCATGGGAGGAATAAAATAATTGGGTAAGGCTAATGGTGGTAGATTCATGCCTATCAATTTTAAAAATGATCCTTGTAATTGTACCTCTCACAATAATTTAAATGTATCAACCAAATCTTTTTACAGTAAGCGGATAAAACAATACATTTAACCCTGCAAATCAAGTTTTTTTGAAATACAAATAGCTGAGTGGAGAATAAGCAGTATTAAGACTGCAGTGGTATGTTCTCAGAGTTTGCAACTGGATTAAAGTGTTATGCAGATTTGCCCACTAGGTGTTGTTGCTATTTACTTATTTAAGCTTTCAAAGCTACTTTTTCTAAAGCGAGTGATATATATTGATAATACCCTACCAGATGAGAAAAAGCAAGTCCTACTCTGATCCATAATATTAATATACTGGTGATAATATACAGGTTTCCTAATATAAGACTGCACACTACAACCGGTGATGTTTGCTGTTGGGAAGTAGACTTCTGGAGATCCAGCACATTGAGAATAATACTGTTTGCCCCAATAAAGTCTTGTTTATTAAAAAAAACCAGTTATGTTTGGTATCCACCAACCTAGCCAATTTTAGATTGCTTGGTATTCCTGTTGAATGTTTTATTTTTGATTAACAAGTTCCCTGAAGAGTGTCTTCATAACTTATATTTTCTTTCCTTGGGGAGCCACAATGAAAATGAAATATCTCCATCTCATTACAATAAGGGTCCTATTTATACCACTGCTTAGTCACCTCTGCTTCAGGAAGAAAAAGGTTACACTGCAAAGACTTTGTTCTTAGGTGAATGATTGTAACAAGGTGTATCATCCTCATGAAAGAGATCCATTTTTAGTGAAGACATCAAGGCTTCCAATTCCAGTAGAGCTATGGTAACGTATCCAATTATATTTTATGGGCAAAGAATATGATCTTCTTAGTGCTTTATTCAGCTTTATCTCCCCCTTTCCTTTGTGTCTGCATATACAGTAGTATATGCCAAAATTGTGGAAACCTTTTGGGAAAAGTGTACAGTAGAAATGCCACCTTTGGTTAAGTTTCCACCACTTTTTCTTCTAATTTCTTTATAACTGTAGCCTTGTTCACTTAATAATACTATTTTACATCGTTTTCTGGGCAACCAGTCAACTCTCTGCACCATTACTATTCCCCTAAATTAAGCCATTTCAGCTTAATTTATAGGAAGAAGGAACTGGGTTATTGGCAAAGGAATTCTGGAGCCCTTTTGTCATTTTTTAAAAAATAACGTTCTTAATTAATCAGTCCAATTATCAGAAACTTTTCTTTTAACGTCCATTCCCCTATTTTAACGCTCATAAATAATTTCTCATTGTATATTCCCCCATCTACAGTATCTAAAAACAAACAAAACTAGTCCTAATATATCAACAAGATTCTCAGTTGCTCAGAAAAAGTGAAAAAGGAGAGATTTATGCAGACCTTGGCCATATTTGGAGGGAGTGGCTTTTTTCAGTTGTTGGAATGCAAATTAAAATAAGCTGTATGTCTTTCATAAGCAAAATTCCTATGGATAATATTTAACAGCTGTACATCTATTTCTATCTCTCAAACTAGTTTATTACCTTTTTATCTAGCTGAAATACAGAGCAGAGAAGTAGACAAGAACTTGGTCCTAAATGCCTGAGTTGCATGATGAACATGGAGCAGAAGAATCAAACCATCTTTGCTGGATTCATCCTTATGGGTTTCTCCTCCTCACCAGACCTCCAAGTGCTTCTCTTTCCCATCTTCCTCTGTATGTACCTACTTTGTCTGCTAGGAAATCTCTTGATAATCTTGCTGATCTTCTCCAGTACCAATCTCCTCCACACTCCCATGTATTACTTCCTCTGTCACTTGTCATTGGCTGACCTTGGATTCAGTTCTGCTGCAGTGCCCAAATTGCTATACAACTTAGTGACCCAGACGAAAGCAATATCCCATAATGGTTGCCTGACACAGATGTATTTCTTTGTGAGTTTTGCTGCGACAGATAACTTTCTCTTGGCCTCCATGGCATATGACCGCTATGTAGCCATCTGCCACCCATTGCACTATGCCAGAGTCATGAGCTTCAAGTACTGCCTTCTGTTGGCTGCTGGATCTTGGCTCCTGGCTCACTCCCACTCTTTGTTGTACATCCTGTTAGTATCTAATTTTACCTTCTGTGCTTCCCGAGAAATCCCCCATTTTTTCTGTGACCTCCATCCTTTATTGAAAATCTCTTGTTCAGACACCTCCATTGTTGATAAGCTTCTTTTGAGCGAAGGAACAACCCTTGCTCTTGGGCCTCTGCTTCTCATTATTTTCTCTTACATCTTCATTGTCATGAAGGTGGTGAAGCTTCCATCTAAGTCCAAGAAGTACAAAGCTTTCTCTACTTGCAGTGCCCACCTCACCACTGTGGCTTTGTTTTATGGCACTGTGATAGGCACCTACCTCCGCCCATCATCTTCCTATTCTGTCTCAAGGCTGAGAGTGGCATCAATATTCTATACAGTAGTCACCCCTATGCTCAACCCTTTCATATACAGCCTGAGGAACAGTGAGATACACGCAGCCATAAAAAGACTGGTAAGGAATTGGTTTTAGTGGAACCAGCATCCTCAGCCATAGGTACAAATAATCTTGCCTGCCAATGGAAAGTTGCCCAATGATTCCTGGCATTTAGAGTTTTCTGTTATTCTCTTGTCTGTAAAAAATATATATATATAGCAAAGTGCAACCAAGCTTACTTTTTATATTAGCCGTTTCTCAACATACAAAGGCTCCTGGAGATCTGTCAATAACATTATAAGCCACTCTGTTCCGTGAAGCAAACTTCAACTGTCAGAAAACACCCTGCTTTTGGACAGTTTATTGTCTGAAAGAACTTCTGTGATGCCTTTTGACATTGGCAGTATTTTTTTTTTTTTTGCAAGCTATCAGAGCTGCTGGTCTCATCACAAGGCAGGGTTTTCCAGTGGTGTTTGCTCAAAAATAAAGTTTATTTATTTCCCTGGGAACATTTTGGCCGAAGCGTATGAAGCAACTAGTGTTTATTATTGCTTTTAAGGAACTGATTCTTTTGCAAGGTAAAAACCAGAATTCTCAGTGTGCTTAATGTACTGTGTACGTTTGTGTGTCTCCGTGGGTGTTCAATTAATTATTGGCTACTATAGATTTCTTGGCTACATTTTTGTATTTTCCTATTGCCTTTCTCTTACAGAAAGTCACCCTTTGGACCTAAGGCAGGATTAGAACTTATTGATCCCTGGATCTAATCTGGTGCCTTCAACCTCTACACTAAATCCCTAAATCTCCATTATTTTCTTCTTACAAAAATTAGTTGGAAATACCTATTCTTGTTACAGAGGAAATTAGAGAGTATGAATAATTAACCATCCTTCGATTGGTTTCTCTACAACGTTACCAAGTTGGCTCTGTTTTGCTGATTAATTTCATTTGCTTTTATCCTGCCCTTAAAGAAGTCTCTTCTTCTTCTTTTTAAGGATGGCTGTTATCCATAAATGTGAAATACTAGGTGTTTCAGTTCTAGATTACAAGAGTCTGAAATTAATCACAGTGAATCATCAATTCCTCTTCCACCAGATTTCTGTCTTCCTGAATCACAGCATTTACTTTTCTTGCTGTCAGTCAGAACCATCTCCCAGTGCCAAAGATTTGCTGGTGAAATCACAGGATTTATTTTATAGGCTATCTTTGATTTCCTTGCCATATATTGGGAATTAAGTCCCTGAATTTAAAACTATCTGTCTTTTGCTAACTTGTGCTGTCTCTCTCTGTCTAATCTACCTCACAAGGTTTTTGGGGGAAAAATGGGAGGGTGAAGTACTCTCTATGTTGTCTTGAATTTTTGCATGAAATGTACGATATAAATCAAGGAAACAAATATATTACCTTTTGTTCATCCCTACAATCAGTAAAACATATTATTCCTATTTTGTTAAAACCTACGGGTTGAAAGTAAATGTTTCAATACAAATACAAATAAACTATCATGCAAACTGGTAACTGTATCATCAATTGATCTTATTGTTTCTCTCATAATTAATAAAGGGATGAAAGTATTATCTTTTCTGCCTTCCTTTTTTTGATCTGTGTAGACTTCAAACCCTATGATATGTGTTTCTACACAAACAGTTTATTATTGTTTATTGCAAATCAAATCTTTATTGTGGTCAAAGACCAGTACAAGAAGGATGGGATACAGCCAATTAAAAAGTATAGAGAATACATTCCGGTGGATCTGTGCGCGCGATGGCGGCTACTTTGTAGCCGTCCTCCTGGGTAAGTGTTTGAATCGCTATGAACAGCGGACATCAGCTGTTCAGCGGTTCAAAATCCCCCTCCCGGGCAAAGGGAGGGGGAAGAGGATTGTCTGAATAGTGGTAGAGCCTCTTATGCACCCCCAAGGCTTTTTTTGGGGGGGGGGTGAAAAGAGTGCTCCCACAGAGTTCAGACTGTCTCCGCTTCCCAGCTGCTTTTGTCTCTAGGGACAAAACAAGCCGCTGCAACCACCTCCGCGACTAAAGTGATCTGGTGAGTTTTTCTTAGAAGCGGACAGAGCTGAGTAGAGGATTTAGCTTTTGCTTTCTCTGATCTTATTTGGATTTTAAGTTTAAAGATTTACTTTTACTTTTATATTCCCTCTTTTTATTTTTTTTCCTTTGTTGAAAGGGAAAGTAAAATGGCGATCGGCAGGCTTTTTGGTGTTTTTTTTCCTTTTTTTTTAACGACTGGAACGGAATGTGGATTTGATTATTTATAATGATTTTTTGATGTTGGGTTTGGATTTTAGGAGGATTATTATTTTTGTTTAACTTTTTTGTTTTGTTTTTTGTACTTTTAAAAAAATGGAATGGATTTTTTTTATTTAATCATTTTTTTCTCTTTCCCTCTTCTTTTTTTTTACTTTTTTCTTCTTATTATAATGATCTTCTTTTGAAGAATTTTTTGATTTTTTGGAGTTAATCTCTCTTTTTCTTTTGCTTAACTTTTTTTCCCTTTTTTGGGGGGTAATTTTTAAGAAGGAGTAAAGATTTTTTTAAGATGGCTCCAAAGCGTTCAGTAATTCCTACAGCTCCTAAGGTGGTTTCTTCTTCGGTGTTATTATCAGTGCAACAACCTAAATCATTAGCTTCACCTTCTTCTTTGGCACAGTCAATAATGGTGAAGGATTTGCAAGACATGATGGGAAATGTTATATCTCAAATTAGGGGAGAAATGAAAGAAATTTTAGAGGAAAATAATAAGATTTTGAGGCAAGAGATAGTTTTGGCTTTAAAAGGAGTTGCCTCTGTTCTTGAAAAGCTGAACTCTCATGTAGAAGAGGTAGTAGAAAAAGTGGAATTGATGGAGGGAAAATTTGAAAGCATGGAAAAAGAGATGGAAAAATTTCAAGATGAGATTCTTATGCTTCAATTTAGACAAATGGAATATGCTTTAAGAATTAGAGGCTTGAGAGAGTCTGTGCAAGGAGATCTGAGAGAGATGATTGCAAATGACTTTGCTGTGATTTTGAATAGAGAAAAAGAGGAAATACTTAGTGAAATTAAACAAACATTTAGAGTTAACTCTGTGGTGGCAGAGCAAAAGAATTTGCCAAGAGATGTGGTAATTTATTTTGGGAAAAGATCCCTGCGCAACGAAATTATACAAGCTTTTTATAAGAAGAGGTTTCAAATTGCTTCACAAGATGTTATAATTCTAAAGGAGATCCCATCTAAAATTTTAAGAAGAAGAAAGGAGTTTGCTTTTTTAGCAGATGAACTTAAAAAGAGACGAATCTTGTTCAGATGGGATGTTCCGACTGGAATGGTGGTGAGTTACCTGGGGATACGTTATAGACTTAATACTGTTTCTAAAGCAAAAGACTTTTACACTTCGGTCCTGGGGGTATGTTCATCGCCATCTATTACGTTTAAAACTTTGGAAGAGAAGAAGGTAGAATTGTAGTCCGAAGACCCTATACTTATGAAAATTGGGAAATCTCAGTTCGAGGGGCCTCAACAAGTTGAGATGGAGGAGCAGAGGATAACCTGTGCAACATATAACTGTAAAGAAAAGGAGCAACAGAAGAAGGAGGTCAAGGAAGCCTCACAAGTATTGGTTTTTGAATCGGCGGGAGAAGTAAGATTTATAAACTTTTTGGAGCAACCTTTAAGGGTAGAATTGCAGTCTGAAGAGCCTATATTAATGAAAAATGGGAAATCTCAGTTCGAGGGGCCTCAACAAGTTGAGATGAAGGAGCAGAGGACAACCCGTGCAACATATAAACGTAAAGAAAAGGAGCAACAGAAGAAGGAGGTTAAGGAAGCCTCACAAGTATTGGTTCCTGAGTCTGCGGGAGAAGCAAGATTTATAAACTTTTTGGAGCAACCTTTAAGGGCAGATTTCAAAGCACTTCTTTCGAGGTTTATGGATAAGAGAGACTGATAAGGAATGTGTTTATTGTGGATGGAATTGGTTATTGGTAAAGATTTAAATATGTATAAGGGAATTTTAATGTTTTAACTAATGTTTAAATTTGTGTTTTGGAGGGAGTTTATAAAGAATGATGGATAATAATATAAGTATGATATGAAAATGTTTAGAGTATATTATAATGTGCTTAATGATTGTAATTATAAAAAAAAATTTTTTGGTTTTTTTTATTATTATTTTTAAGAGAAGATAACTTGTTTAATTTAATGTATTTAGATTTGCTTAGGATTTATATGTGTTTTAATTTTTTTTTGATAGGAGAGAAGATTATGGAGATCGAATGAAAATTTTAGATAAGAAGTTTAAGTTTAGCAATTTAAGGAGTATTCAAAAGAGTATTTAGTCTTAATGGTATAATGAATATTTATATGTTTATTTTTCTGTCTTAGGATAAAGAAAGAGGGAGAGATTAGATTTTATATTGTATGTATAGATATCTAAGGAGTATTTAAAGGAACATTTTGCTTTAAATATGTATAAGGGAATTTTAATGTTTTAAGTAATGTTTAAATTTGTGTTTTGGAAGGAGTTTATAAAGAATGATGGATAATAATATAAGTATGATATTAGAAAATGTGTAGAGTATATTATAACGCGTTTAATGATTGTAATTATTATTTTTTAGAGCTAAGCATTTTTCTTATTTTTAATACTTATGCTTTTGTTTTTTTCATATATATATTATTGTTAATCATCTTATAAGTTGTTTAAGTAATGTATTTAGACTTATTTATGGTTTATATATTTTTTTAAGACTATGAAATTTTAATTAAGCCTATATTCAGCTCTGGGAAGGTTGGGGGAGGGAATGGGAGGGTTGGGGTGGGTTAGGTAGGGTTGTTTTTGTAAAAATTTTAAAAATTTTCAATAAAAAAAAGAAGGATGGGATACAGCCAACTAAAAAGTATAGAGAATACATTGGAATATAAAAAATAATAATTATAAAGGGTTTTAAAAATATAAAACAGAAGTATGTATAAAAAGCAAAAGTCTAAAACAAATCTAAAAAGAGGAACATTAAATGAGCATGAGGAGCATGAAGTTTAGTATGTGACAGACTAAATCTATTCCAATGCAGAGTCCTCTAGAATTTCCAAGCTAGATGTTCATTAAGACTAATTTATGGCACAAGTCATCATCATTCCCTTCAAAACATGACATTATATGTTGTAGCAGGGTTGGTATCTAAAAGCAGAAGGGGGTAGAATTCACCCTGGGTATGTATGCACCTACAAGGTTAATATGAATGTGTCAACTGTCCGGCTAGCGAATTCAACATTGAGGAAACTTTACAGCTTTGAGATGCCATAAAAGATAAACTTTATTGAATACACATTTTGGTACTAAAGAAGCAAAATCAACTCTAGTTTTCTCGCGTGAAAATCTGGTTAGTTAACAATAGCTTTTCATTACCCCCATCCACCAAGTGTTCATGTTGCCCAATCACATCCCTTTGGTTTGTTATGGGAACAGTCCACTTCTCTGTCAGATACCTGCTTTTGTGACCTTGGGTCTCATGGTCCGTGGATGGCTACGTGAAACTCCTTTTTCTTTCCCAGGCTTTCCCTCCCCCTTGTTTCTGTGGCAAGTTGAGTAGTGACAGAGGTTAGCAAGCATCTTAGCAATTCAATCTTGACAGAATGTCTCTCTAATACAGGCACTGGAGAAGCACAGCTTTGTTGTTTCTGTGTCTTCAGAGTCACAAGGGCATTGACTCTCCTTGTAGGGAATCTACCTGCATTGGCCTTCAAGGACAGCTGAAGGGAGGGGAGGGCATGACATTGTGCCAGAGTAAAGGCCCTTTGGTGTTAGGTATTTTGAGATTAGTGAGGTATACCATAAGGGAGGCAGAGTACCTGTTGGGATTCACTGGCATCAAAGGCTGGGTCCTGACTAGATCCAATTGGTGCTCTGGTCTTTGCCACATGCTGTTTACTAAGTGTTTTAGGCCAATCATATCTCATGCGGAGTAGAAGGTCTGGAGAGAAGCTCAAGGACGAGAATTTAATTGCCACTGCCAATGATCCCTGAAAATCATGCTTCATAGTTGGCGGGGATTGCTCATTGCAGTTTTTCCCAACATTGGGTCCTCTTTTTTACAATAATTTTATTGAATATTACAATTATAGAGATATAAAGTTACAAAAAATAAAGAGGAAAAAATGTAAAGAAGGAAAAAAAGAAAATGTAAAAGAAAGAGAAGAGAAGAAAGAAAAAAAATAAGAATATAAAGAAAAAAGAAATATAAAGTAACTTCCCCCTTGTCTCAACAAGTGTAAAAATTTTTAACAACTTATTATTTTTGCTTAAAATACAACAATATCTTCCCCCTATATCCTATCTATAGACAATCCTTAAAACTTCATCATTCAACCACTTCAAATAATGTCCTAGAAGTTTTCAATTTCTTTTCTTTTTTTCCTTTTGTCTCTTCTTACCAAGTCTTGCAAAAAATAAAAAAAAATCTCTTTTGTAAATCTAGGAACATTATCCAAGTTATTCTCCTAGTTGTTTGTTTTTATGTCTTTTAATTATTAAAACATCAAATGGTTTCCTGTACATCCAATATTTCAAATTCTACTTAACACAAACTGGCATAAAGATTGGCTTATCACTTGCATGTTGGAATGGATTTTACAGCATGTTTCTGTGAATTTAAGAGAAATGATGTTCTTCACATCCCACCTCCCAAAAAGATTATATTAGTGTTGCAGATTTCAGAAATCTTTCAACTATGCAGAAATATTGCTAGTTTTTATTTGGCTTGATAATTTCTATTAGATGGAAAATAATTAAATTACCAGAAAATGTCACACTGAGCACTTCAACTCTGAGTCTCATTCTTCTGTCCTACCTTCAGGTCTTCCAAGTTTTTATTCCTGAAAATTTAATCAGTATTTATTTCACTGAGCATAGTTTTCATTGGGCTTTTTTTTCAAAATGTTGGAGTAATAAACCCACTCAAATGTTTCCATTGATTTTTAAGGGCAGATCTCACTTTCCTCCATTTTTCATGCTAAATATTTCTAGATGTTCTGTGCTTGATAGATCTTACTCTCCTGAGGTGATCACAAGGAAGCACCTGAGAGAAGTTATGAAAGACAGAGGGATGTCGACCGTAATAGGTCAGATTTTTCAGGACCCCGGACAGTTCCATATTTAGATCCAATCCTAATTAAGACCACGAGGGTATCTGCTATTTGTAGTTCAGGGTTGACATTAGGGGTCCATGGTGCTCTTTGAGCTTGCTTGTTTTCTTGCAGACATTTCATTACCCCAGCATTGATGATGTTACGTAGTTTGGGTAATGAAATGTCTGCAAGAAAACAAGCAAGCTCAGAGAGCACCAAGGAATCCTCGTGGTATCTGTTATGTTCCTGATAACATATTAAAATGAAAAAAATTGCCTTTAAAATAAACTAATTGAACTGTTTGTTTTAGAATATATTTTTCCATGTATATCATGAGTAGAAGAGACAGTAACATATTGTTTAATTTCTTTATATATCCAGTATTCTTTCATCATTCTAGCCATTGTCTATCCACTGCAAGATGAAGGCTTCTTCTGCATGTTTCCAACCGAAATGGTCCTGAGCTTTCTTTTGCCAATTGGGCCTGCAATACTTGCTGATGTCATTTTAGGTCTCTTTTGTGGATGCTTTTTTATCAAGTGGGATCCATTCTATGCCTGACTTGGTCCACCTGCCATCTTCTTGCTACGTGACCAGCCCATTTCCATTTCAATTCTTTTACTTTCTTGATATCGTATACTTTTGTTTCTTCTCTAATCTATGTGCAGGTCTTTCTATCTTGTCTTGTAATGCTGAGCATGTATCTTTCCCATGGCTGTTTATGCCACTTGTAGTTTTTATATCAATTGTGAGGTTAGTATTCATGTAAGAATAAAATAGAATAGAATAGAACAGAGCTGGAGGGGACCTTGGAGGTCTTCTAGTCCAGCCCCCTGCTCAAGCAGGATAACCTATACCATCTCAGAGAGGTCTAGTCTCTTCTTAAAAATCTCCAGAGATGGAGTACCCACGATTCCACTGGTTGATTGTCCTCACTGTCAGGAAGTTTTTCCTTAATTCCGGCATACGTTAGAGCAGGTAGCACACATACTGATCAAAAACCAGTATTCTTGACATACTCCAATATCCAGCATATTGGTATACTTGCTCCAATTTTCACGTAGCGTGGTACAATGTAATACAAATTTGATGGATTATAATTTGGTAAATTCCTATTTAGCAGAGCTGCAAGATCAATATTCCTCAGGAGAGAGATATAATCTCCCCCAAGTTATAATTTTTCTTCAGTTGAAAATATGACCATGCAGCCACCTCCAACTTCCTTTTATAGCTTCTTCTAAACTTCACAGTAGATCAATCTTCATTTCTGTAGCAATTTTGCCTGCCGTTCTTTCTATTTGGCAAACTTTTCTGTTACCTTGTCTGTGTGCTGTATCATTTATTTTTCTAACAATAGCATTACCAAAACATTAAGTTTATCTTGGCCAATCACTTCTTACTTAAAAACATTACTCCGGAGGTAAATATGCTGAAAGGATTTAATTGGATTTCTTGTTGTAGAGTCTCAGCAGTTTATAAGAGCTGGGTTCTAGTCTGACGGAAATTCTTATGTTCCCTGTTATCATTGAAGAAACATGTTGAATTATAGAAAAGCTACTAGAGAGAAAATCAGAAAATCTCTATCCTAAAATATATGATGGTATATTGATTATAAATTGGAAACTTTTCAGTTGCTGGAGTTCTTGTAACTGTATCCCATTCATCTCAATAGATTGTGCTAAAGAAAACTCTGTGGAGTTCCATTTACCTGAACCAGACTCTCCTGCTTAGCCTGAAAACACTTTTTTTTCAGGAAAAAAAGACTGTTTGCCAATCATGCAATTGCTGTGGGGCATTTTTCGCTTAAACATAAAGCAACTAGTTTGGCCCTGAACCCAAAAAACTTTCCTTTCCTTTCCTTTCCTTTCCTTTCCTTTCCTTTCCTTTCCTTTCCTTTCCTTTCCTTTCCTTTCCTTTCCTTTCCTTTCCTCTCCTCTCCTCTCCTCTCATCTCCTCTCCTCTCCTCTTCCTTTTTCCTTCTTTCGTCTGCAACCAAGAACCTAAAGTTATGATTCTAAGCAACAGAAAAGCAATAGAAAATCAAAAGAAGCTAGGATTAAATGGTAAGGTGAAGGTCACTGAGAAATCTTCAATAGATATAATGCAATAAAACGTTTAGTTTGTTTCCCCCCCTCTTTTTTCTTGGGAGGGTCTGCTCTTAACGAGCCTATTAGTACCTAATAATTAGAGGCAAAAAATATAAACTGAGCCTTATAGAGCTTACAGGTGAGAAGATGTTCATGAGGACTATTGGGGAAGGGAACGAATCCTAATCCTGAAATATCTTTAATATCAGAGTGGTAAACAGATGATAATATAATGCATTTGAACCAGTCTCTGATGTCTCTATGAAGTAGATTTTTGAAGGTGTGCCTAATATTGTACAGACACTGTTTTATGTTTCTTTTCTGGCCAGATTGACTATGTTTTGTTTACCTCAGAAACCTGTGCTTGACAACAACTTTCCGATTCAATGTTACATCACTTGTTATTGCTGTTGAATGTTCTAGCCTGGGTTAACCAGTTCCCCAAAGAGCCTTGTTTTTGCACCAATGTCTCTTCCTTGGGGTGCAACAATCTAGAAATTATCCCTGCCTCCTCACCATTGTCTGCACATCTGCTTTGAGAGAGGAAATGCTCCCCCATGAAACCTGTACCCTTGTTCAAAACTGAAAAAGTTGTAAAGAATCTCTTCACCAAAAAAGAAACGGGACCTCAGTGGAGACATCAAAGCTTTTTGCCAGAGGTACAGTCTAATATTTAGTGTTCTTTTTTTTTACTGGACACAAACCAGTAAACATTTTATTTAAGAGTTTTCTCTTTCTCTCTCTACATCAGAAATGTACAGAATTGCACTTCATCCTCATACACTATTGCTACCCTGCGTGCTGTATTTGAGTGAAACCCAGAAGGAAGGCAATTCCTTGTTCAGCTTTTCTCTCCTCTCCCTCCCTCCAATTCCTTTAATGCAGAGCGCATTTTTGCAAAGCTGTGGCATATATAGAAGCTGTGAGATGAAGAGTCCAAGAAAGAAAGTTGAAAAGGACTGTTATGGATAGAATTTGGTTTGTTCTACAGTAGCTAAATACTGTAGTGCAGGAAACAGTCACAGAATCTGAAGAAAGGCTGTTGTGTAACTGCTTTGCATACAGTATTTTGCAAAGTTGTGTTATATATAGTGGCAATGAGATTAGGTGATGCAGCACTGAGAAGACATTGCAATGGAAGGATTAAATTATTCCATTTAGACTCCATGGCTAAGGAGCATAGGAGGCAAAGGCTGGTTCTCAGCTGGGGAGAAGAGGCTGTAGATGCTGAATGTCACAATGGAACTCCTCCTCCCTCTTCGGATAGGGCTGGGAAAAGTGCTTGTCAGAAGGAGCCCATCTATGACAGTCAGGGCATTGAGGATTGGAGGCAATGGATTAAAGCTCTGCCTCAGTAGAAGGCCTCCATATGATCATTTACAAGGAACTCTCATTCTTATAGACTACTTTATATACAAAGGGTTCTCAACATATTGCATTGTAAAAATGGAACCCAGTACAGTTGTGTTGTGTGGTTCCTCTATCAAATTATCTTCCTCAAATTGCCTTTTTGCAAACTGGAAAATAAAGATATGGATGGGATATGAAGGTGTGGGTGAATGCAGAAAAGGAAATTGAAAAAAGACTGTTATGGATAGAATTTGATTTGTCCTACAGTAGTTAAATACTATAGCACAGGAAACAATCACAGACTCTGGAGAAAAGCTGTTGCGTAACTGCTTTGCATACAGAATTTCCCAAACACAATCCTTGGTCATCCACAAAGAGCCATGATGCTGCTGCCAGTTAGGACATACGAGGATGGATGAAATAGATGAATGATCTGTGGCAAGTGGAAGACAGCTTGCTGTATTCTGAAGGTTACTAAATGAGCCATTTCTACTTGAGTATTTATCACTTCAGAGGAAGAAGAGACCATCTTACAGGCAAGGAACAATGAAATAATTTCGTTCGTAATACACTATGTCATCACAATTAGATTGCTGAATAGATATTTATAAAAGTACACTCTATGTTGGTCAGTAGCCAGGCTCATCTTGATTCAGAAAAGTCACTCACCATTCATTTCAACTATCTCTAAATCAGGCTTCAAGAGTGAATAAAGAAACTGGGGGATTTTTTTTCCTAAGGTGACTATATATCACTTTAGAATGGATCACCTTAAGTATCATCTCCAATTCGAAATGTCATTCCTCCAAACTGGAGAAGCCACGTGAAACTCTTTTGTTTTAACTGACCTAAACAATTAAGTGGCATCTGCTATTTAGACACCAAACTCACAACAACACATGCCTAAGCCATAAATAAAATATCATAACACCAACCTATATTCCGTGAGCCTAGGAGTTATCGCAAATAGAATACTAAACATCTAATATCAATCTTCTTTATTGCAAGTTTATGTTCTGTGACGTGAATTTGAAGAAATTTGTGTATGCCTTTACCATTGCCAGATATATACTGAAATAAATGTGCCGCCCATGTCCCATTGCTGGAATACAAATCAAAATAATTCAGTTGGCTTAAAGACTAGAAATCACCCATACCAATTTCTCCCATATCCTGAAGTACTGTATTTCTTTTCCTTCATATCTAGGTGAAGTACCAACCTGATATGTAAATACAAATATGCAAAAATCTGTATTTTCAGCTGACCTATGGAAAAGAATCAGGAGAACCAAACCAACTTTGTTGGATTCATCCTCCTGGGTTTTTCTTCCTCTCCAGAGTTTCAAGGACTACTTTTTCCTGTTTTCCTTTGTATGTACTTGCTTTGTCTGCTGGGAAACCTCATGATAATCCTGCTGATCCTCTCCAGTGCCAGCCTCCTCCATGCTCCCATGTATTTTTTCCTCTGTCACCTGTCATTGGCTGATCTCGGATTGAGCTCCACTATTGTACCCCAAATGCTGCAGAGCCTGCTGTCCCACACAAACTTCATATCCTTTAGTGGTTGCCTGACACAGATGTATTTCTTTGTGAGCTTCTGTGCAGCAGATAACTTTCTCCTGGCCTCCATGGCATATGACCGCTACGTAGCCATTTGTCGTCCATTGCATTATGCAACAATCATGAGCTACAGGCGTTGCATACAGCTGGCTGCTGCATCTTGGCTCCTGGCTTATGCCCACTCCCTACTGTATGTCCTTTCAATGTGTAATTTTAAGTTTTGTGCTTCCCGAGAGATTCCCCATTTCTTCTGTGACCTCCATCCTTTGCTGAAGCTCTCCTGCTCTGACACCTCATCTGTTGAAATGCTGCTTGTTACTGAAGGCACTGCATTTCTTCTTGGACCCCTTTTGCTGGTTATTTTTTCCTACCTTTTCATTGTATTCAAAGTTTTGAAAATACCCTCAGGCCTCAGGAAATACAAGGCCTTCTCCACCTGCATCTCCCATCTTACTACGGTTGCTTTGTTTTACGGGGCCCTGTTAGGCATCTACATCCGCCCGTCCTCCACTTATGCTGGGTCAAAATTGAAAATTGCATCCATATTATACACAGTGGTGACTCCCATGCTCAATCCTTTCATATACAGCCTGCGGAACAGTACAATGCACGAGGCTATGAAAAGAATATTAAGAGGCTGGTTTCAGAAGAGATGACCTGTAATGAAACTGAAGCTGCCGCAAAAGAAATTGCAAATCAACTGGAAAACCAGTAAGCATGGCACTCAGACAAAATATGAGATTTTTTTTATGGAACCTTTGTTTTTCCAGATTGAAAATAAAAGCCCTATCTTTTTTTTCCCTTCCAATAAAAACAGGGCAAGTTTCTCTAAGAAGGCCAACTGATGGTTGTAAACTTCATATATTATGTCTTTCATTTTGAAATGTAAAAGTGAATTCTTACGGTGACTCTGCAAGATGATGTTTTTATGCTATATTGTTACTATAATAAAGGACACTATTGGCTCTGAAGATTATCCCATAAATCTTTAGTCTTATGTTGGTAATCTCAGTATATCTTGTATAATCTTTAAATTTCCTGAATTTCCAGAATATTCACATTTTACATTTTGGCTTTCAATGTTCGTGTTTGAATGAAATAATAAGCATGAATTACTTAATAGCATGGGATTATACCTTTGCCAATATGAATTTATTTTATCAATATGAATCTATGTTTTTACTCTGCTGTGAAGCAAATTTTCTTTTGCACGCTTATGAGAAATGAATCTTCATATCATGAAAATATGGGTCCCATGAAGACAGATCTCCATCAAGTCCTGGGAATGCTTTCCTCCAGACTTCCTGCCTCTCTTTAAATCTTTTTAAACTCCTTCACAGTCTTCCAGCTCTGGCTGCCAATGACACATTCTCATCAAATGGTTATCGCCTCTGAAAGGAGGCCTTGCTACACTTTGTGATGTGTTCTGCTAGGTGTCAATAAATGCTTTTACTTCTTCCATTCACAATGCCTAAGCTGTTTTAAGGTGGGTATGGAAAGAGATGTGGAGAACAAAACCAATGAGACTGACCTTGGTGGCATATGGATCACAGCAGGCAAGAGGCTGAGGCTAGACAGTTACGGATTTATTCTCTGTCCCCATCTTTGTCTATCACTCTGCCTACTCTTTGTCTTTTTTCCCCCTTCTGTTCAGTTGTGTCTGATTCTTGGAGATGGCTTGGACAAATTCCTGCAGTTGTTTTAGCAGGGTTTTCAAGAATGGTTCATCATTGCTTGCTTCCTAGGGCCAAGAGAGAAAGAGAATGACTGGCCTAAATTCACCCATCTTGCTTTGTGCCTAAAGCAGGACTGGAACTTCCTAGTTTCCTGTTTCTAGGCCATCATCTTAACCTCTGCACCAACCTGGCTCTCTCTGTCTTAAATGGGGGGGGGGATTCCATTATAAGAGGTTCAAACACAGTAAGGGTTATATGAAATTCAGGCCTATCAATCTAGCTAAATGGGCAGAGACCTTGGATGCCCTTTGGAAAAATCAAACTCAAACTTGGACTAATCAGGAGAAGGTTTCCCCTCAGATGGGCTTTAAAGAAAAGGAGAGGACAGCGCAAGTTTCTTTTGTATTTTCCTGTCAGATCGCTCTGTCATGGCCAGCTAAAAGTTAAGTAAGAAAGGAAGCCCATCTTGTAGTTATCCAGGTTGGAGAGCAGGCAATTATATAAACAGGTGAGGTCAGTAGTTCTCAACCTTTTTTTCACCCCTTTTAAATACGTTTTGTGGCCACAGATCCCGGCCATGGAACCTCAAGACTCAATTCAAGATTTAAATCGTAACATTTCTTCAAGTCTTCGCGAACCCTCTGTGATGACATCATGGCGCCCCAGGGGTCCACGGACCACAGGTTGAGAACTACTGGGTTAGGGGATGGTAGAGCAAGATCCGGTATTGATTGGAGTGTAGGACACTAGGCAATTTGTGGGTTGGCTAAGGGGCCAGCTGTCTCAAATCCACCACTTGTAGATTTCACTTCTCCTTCCTCTTTTTCTATCTGTCATCTTTGTTCAAGTTTTTTGGATCTCAATATGCATAATAAGGACTTGGTGAACCAGTGAGGCTCATTGTAGGAAAAAGAACTAGACTTTAGATGTTTTTGACAAGTTTTCTATTATGTAGAAGTATGAAATTACGAGATAAGCATCTAGTTCCTAGTAAAATGGCATAGCTCCCACATAGAATGAGTTCCAGATTACAGGAAGTGGTTTTCTCTTCTTAAATCAAACTTCCATGCAGGCTTTCAGATCTATCTCCCAGTATCATCCCAGATTAATGCATTTTTAAATGATATTTCCAGTGCTGGATCTATTATTATATTTTTTTTGCTTTTTTTCTAATCAATACTGTTATTTTTTTCTCCTAACAACATATCAGTACAGGTGTCCCAAACATGGGAGGGGGAGAGAAAGAACACTTAATTCATAATTGTTGAAATGTGTAAAAATCAGCATGGAACAGCAATTGAGTTTTTCCACTTCTGTAGTAAATGTTAAAGTGTTGAAGGCACTTCTTGTTAAATGTGATGATCTCCTGTCTGCTGCCTATCTCAGACAGTGATCTCAGCTGTGAAATATTCTGTTCTGTATTTGTCTTTGTGTGTGTAGCAAGAAGTTCAACTGGCTGAACACATTCTCTTCAGCAATAAATATTCTTTTCTCCTATTTTTTTTCTTTCTTCTTTTGTGTTTGTCGGCTTCCTTCTAGTTCTTTGACCTTGATTCCCAAATAAGGACTTGATGAAAAGGAACTAGCCTTTAGTTCATCTCAAATTTCACATTTATTCATTTCACATGAATAAAATAGTTGATTTCTTTGGGATTCTCTGTGCAAGAAAAGTAGGGATCAAAGCCTGGAGATGGTTTAACTACACAGCTACTTTGCCCATGCAAGTTTGATCAGCTTAAAAATAAAATTGTGCCCCCCACCGCCCCCAATACATGTCTCATATCTTTCACAGAAATTGCGACCCATAGGTTAAGCAATATCTGTTTCTCTGTTGAAAGGCAAACAGAGGTTCCTGGAAAAAATCAGTTTCAGCATCCTCTGAAATAAAACCTCCCTGTACATAGAAGATACTCAATGCTTCACATGCTATGATACAAAGTAAACTGCAATTAAAATAATTAATATTTACAACAGATATGTAGAAAAAAAGTCATTATAACCATCCTTACTAGAAAGTTTGTTCTTTCTTTCTGCCTTTGTCAGTTTTAACTGGCCCGGATAAATTGGTGCATGTTCTTTGAAACATTTTTTTAAACTGCAATTGGCTTGCTATTACATCTTTTGAGGTGTGTGTGTGTGTGTGTGTGTGTGTGTGTGAGAGAGAGAGAGAGAGAGAGAGCGAGAGAGAGACTAAAGAAAGAGAGACTAGCCAAAAATCAAGCTTTGTGCCCAATGTGGGACTAGGAGTCATTGTTCCCTTGGTTTTTAGCCTCTTAAAATATACTGTACATAACTTCAGTGAGACAGTTTGTAAAAGGAAAGAAAAAGGAGGAGGAGAAGGAGAAAGAGGAGGGGGAGGGGAGGAGGAGGGGGAGGAGGAGGAAGCAGAGGCTAAAAAGGACGACTACAGTTTATCAATTTTTCCACTGTTAAATTAAGCATTAAAGGAGCTAGAGGATATCCTCATTAGGTTCCACTTCTCATTTTGATTGCTGATGACACAATCCCATTTGTGATCACTTTAGCAGAAGGATTAGATGAAATTATAATCCAAGGTATGCATTCAGCAGGAAATTCCCTTTTTTTGTCATAATTTGCTTAAAAAACTTTATTTGCACCACATCAGTGGGTTTGTTAAATGAATCTAATAAAGCCAGAACAGACATTTCACCAGCTTACAATGCTAATATGCCAACCAATAATCTAATATTATCAGTGGCATGACATTTTTTCATAAAAGCTGACTTTGATGGATGAATTTTTGAAGTTTGCCTTCTGCAAACTTTGTGATAAAGTGAAATCTTGAAATCTTGGCATCAAGGTTTTTACAAAAATATTAATGATAGCTTACAGAATTTATAAGGTCATTTCCCAGATCAGAATTCTGAAAATAAGATTTGACGGCCTGAGTTTAACTCTCTGGCCGCTTTTATAGCAGATCTGCTTGAGGGTGTTCTGGGAAATGATTGACAGAGCTAAACCCATGTCCAGCTCCATCGTTAAGGGGACTTCCCGCAATTTGACATCAATATGCAGCTTCTTCTTATTTATTTATTAATTATATATATATATATATATATATATATATATATATATATATATATATACACACACACAATCTGGGTCCTCATTTTACCTACCTCGGAAGGATGGAAGGCTGAGTCAACCTTGAGCCGGTGAGATTTGAACCACTGACCTGCTGAACACAGTCAGCTAAAGTGGCCTGCAGTACTGCACTCTAACTGCTGCGCCACCTCGGCTCTTCAATGGCTGTTCTCAATACGTTTCTCCGGAACATGCAAAAACCCACCCTATTCTGGCTGGGGACCCTGATACCTTTTTGAGGCAATTCTTCTGATGAACGGTCTTTCTTGTGACCCAAACAGACGGCGGCTATGTGGCCTTGCCGGCCACATGCCTGGCAAGTAGCAGAGCGAAAACAGCAGTCGGTACATTTGTGGCGGCCTCCACATCCGAAACACTGAGGGAATGGAACTGCCTTGTCAGATCCTTTGTCAGCTTGCTCTTGGGGCCTTTTTTCCGATGGCTGCTGCAGACGATCGACCTCATTGTCGGATTCTGGTTCGGATACCTCTTGAGCAACCTCTTGATGGACTGTGCCCAAGCAAAAAGAGTTCTTGGAAAGCTGCAAGGCCTTAACAGCTCCTCCCGCTGCTTCTTCAGCCGTGATCTCCCTTAGCACATCTTGGAAGGAAACGGCTTCTTTTGCAAAAATCTTTTGCTGCAGTTCTCGACTCCTCAGACCACAAACTAGCTGATCTCGTAGCCTTTCTTCCAAGTCTTGCAGCTTGATGTAGAGTAGCAATAAAGGGCCTTGCAGCTTGATGCAGAGCAGCAATAAAGTCTGCAGCAGACTCTCCTGGACGTTGGTCCTGCTGTTCAAATGCATGATGCCATGCTATTACCAATAGCTTTGGTTCAAAATGTTCCTTTAACATTTTCTTCAGTTCTGTGTAAGCAACGGATTCCAAAGTTGCTGGAGCAACCAAGTTTTTAGCAATGTCAAAAGTCTCTTGCCCACAAACGCACAGCAACATTGCGGCCTTGAGCCCATCCTCCCAACTTGGTTGACTCTAAAGTAGTTCTCCACCCTGGCAACGTAGGAGCTCCAACATTCAGGATGTGTGACATCAAATTCAGACAGATGTCTGATCTTTGCCATGATTAATCTTTGGCGGCCTCTTTCAATGCCTTGCGCTGCTCAGGCTTGTGAAGGGGTTCCAGGACGAATCTTTATGAGCTCTCCTCCAATGTCTTCATACTGGCAGGCACAGTCGCACAAGTTGGAACGCCGAACTTCTAAACACTTTCGGGCCTTCCGTAGTGAGTCAGCCTATTATTCTGTGTTTTTCTTGCAGCACGATCCCACCTTCATCACCAATGTTCTGTTCTTTGCGTTGATAAAACATTGAAACAAGGCAGGAGTAATAACAGGTGCTTCTTTATTTCAGCTTTTAACAGAACAACACAACACGGCGGCGGCCCCTTTTATACCTTCTGCAGGGAACAGCATCAGCCAATAAATGCAACATATTTTCCTGCTCTGTGCATGCTCAATAGGCTGGAGACAGCCTGTCTGACCCAGGCAGGCCACATGGTTTGCCCAGGTCTCACTGCAGCTTCCTGCACCTGCTCTGTCAATCACAGGCCCAGGACATAACAGTCACCCCAATACCTGGTAGCAACTTCCTCTTAGGCTCCACCTCTATTGTTCTAAGATCTTGCCTGGAGCTATGAAAGCCTTGGGGGGGGGAAACCCTGAAATTTT